TTTAAAAACTGTTCTATCCTATATTAGTTTTTAAAAAATCAATGACATAAATATATATTACATAGATGACCGAGTAACATCAAAATTATCAACAAATTAAGCAATTGAAGCTATTACAGAATCAGATGCTGGCGCATGTTCTGTATATGGCATCTAATATTTCTTTTTTAGCTATCTGTGCTCTAAGTTTTGGTTTGGAAGCAATCAAATATCTCATTACTGAGAAATAAAAATTCAGGTATACTTTAATCGTATAGATACATATATATCTAAAGAAAGATCTGTTTTGCTCTACCTCTATTAACCGCAATAGTTGTTTTGGATTTTTTCTCAAATTCTTCCCAATCAAAATGTTCACTGTCCGGTCCAACTCTATGCCATAAACCAGCTAGATTAGCATCTGGTGTATCAAAAGCTTTTAAACCTATTTTTTGCACTCTTTCACTATCCATCCATATATAATAATCACGATATGGATTGTTGACTGAATTTAATTGAGCTTGTTTAAACCATGGATGATCATAACTTGTATGATTAGCAACAAGATCAAGGATTAATAGTATGCCACGTTCATGACATTCATTAACTAAATGACGAAAATCATCTATAGTTCCATAATCAGGATGAATATTCATGTAATCTTCAACATCATATTTATGATAAGTTTTAGCTGGATGAATAGGCATAAGCCATATTAATGTAATACCTAAATCTGAAAGATAATTTAGTTTTTGACGAAGACCATTTAAATCACCAATACCATCTCCATTTGAATCGAAAAATGATTGAACAAATATTTCATATCCAACTCCATGTAAGCATCGTCGAACTACTTCTGGTGTTAGACGTTTTATAGACATTTGATATTATTCTTCAGTATTTCATTGACGAAATAAATTGTTCTGTTTAAGAAATATTAATATCTTTAAAAAGAAAGATTTTAGCAATATTTGCTTTGACTTGGGAATAGCTACGATTCATTATCTGTACAAAAATAAAGAGTACAAGTGATAGACTTATGAAACCCATACCTATCTCCTTTTTCGTAAAGATATTCTCGCTTTTCAGGAGTTTCGGACAAGAGTCTAACTAGTCCTGGATTAAAAAAATTTCACAAATCTATCTGTAATAATAAATGCTTCCATAGTGAAAGATAATATTAGTAGCCAAAATTGTTCGAATTCAGATAGAAATAAATAGTAATTAATAAATCATAATTTCTGAATCATTGAAAAAAAGCTTCCAATGAAAGCTTTCTAAAAGATGTCACTGAGTTCAGGAAAAGAAACAATTTTATGAAAACTCTGTACCCAATTATTTACAAAACATTTGAAACAAATTTTAAACTGGATTTTTCTTATATAACATTAACGATAATGCTTGATCTGTTTTGTTTGATTAAACAATTTCTTGATGCTTGTAATCTTTATTG